TACTCCAGCTGCAGCCTGACCAATGTTGCACAGAAGGGGAGGATCACCTCGTTGGACCTGCCCAAGATGCCATCTATGGATGCATGACAAAGTGCAGTTAGCCTTCCTGACCGTGTCCCCACATTGGTGGCCCATGTTCATCTTGGAATCCATAGTGACACCAAGATCCTTTTCTGTCTCTATGCTGACAAGAAGGGAGTTCCCCAGCCTGTAGGTATGCTGTTGGTTCTTCCTCCTCAGGTGCAACACTTTGCACTTGTCCGTATAGAAACCCATCCTATTCTCATCTGCCCACCTCTGTAACCTGTCCAGATCTAGTTGTAGTCTGTCCCTTTTCTAGCGTGCTCACTTCCCACCACATCTTAGTGTTATCTGCGAACTTGAACAAGGTGCTTTTCACCCCTTCGTCCAAATTGCTGATACAGATATTGAACAGTGTGGACCCAAGGACCCAGCCCTGGGGAACCCCACTGCCCACATCCCTCCAGGCTGAAAATGACCCATCCACCACCACTCTCTGGGTGCGGCCCTCCAGCCAATTTGTGACCCATCTGACTGTGTAGGCGCTGACACCACAGTATATATACACGTCTCTAAAATATGCTATTGGCTGCAAGTGGATATTATATACTATATATAATTTATATATTCAAGGCACTGGGTTTGAATATCTAATTCATTCTTTTCTTTTTTAGTGTTTCAGAATATTTGGTTCCAATAAAACAGAGAAGCTGACATGGCATGATGCACGAACAGCTTGTGTGACACTTGGGGGAAACTTGGCTACCATTCCAAACAAACAACTACAAGGTACAATATCTGCCCCCTGCCATGAAAGATGGAATATCAACCAGTTATTACAAAAGGAAAATGAATTATGGCAAAAAGTGTACTTATCCAGTTACCATAATATTCTGTCCTTTTTCCCCCTGAAATCCTGGAAATGTAGGAATTAATTAAATTTTTGGACAAATTGAAATTACAATAATTATGTTTTAAAAAGGAATCTTTTAATCTATGCACAGACTAACTGGTTAAACATATAATTAAAGAATACAGGACATATATACAGGTGATGCTATGTTGCTATAGCAACGTGTTATGGCAATGTAGCGTCCATGGGCAAAACCCATGATGCCACAGCTATGTCACCATAGTGACATACTCCCTTGTTATAACACATTGCTGTGGTATCACAGTGTCTAATAATAACTGTGCGCAGCCTGCACGGCATAGTATGGGCTGTTACTGCGCCATCTTTTAGTACTTCCAAAAGAAAATACTAGATGACAGGACAGTAACAACAGCACCATAGCAGCATGTGTAGACACGTCTACAGAATAGTTAACTAGTGACAGATCTTATCACTTCCTGTCTTCTCCTACAGAAGCTTAGATACTGTGATAGAGCCCCAGATGAGCAGCCTTCAGAGCTTAGACCCCACTTTAACCAGAACCATTAGTGTAAAACTGCTGAGAAGGGTGAGAAAATTGCAGTGGGTGATTTTTCTGTTAAAGAATATAAATATAAGGAACTAGCCATAATGTTGAGTTCAAATAATCTATTCATAGTCAGAGGAACTGTCAAGTCTGAGAATGACTGTGAAGGAATAACAAACAGATTGGGAAGGCGGGGGGTGGGGGAATATAACTGGAGGGAATGAGGTATAAAAAAATAAAGGCTTAAAAGACCCTATAAGTGCTGTTGTAGATCTGTGCTGGTATCCCAAGATTTTGTTTCATTAGAAAATTTCCAACCAGCTCCAATTATGAATATATTTACAGAAATCATTAGAGGTTTGTAAAACACTATGCTAACTGTAAGAACTGTAAAAACTCATCATGAAAATAATTAAAAAATTATGTAACCACTAACCAGGTCTAATAATGCCATTTCCCATAAAATGTTATCTGATCTACTTTCAATGTTGTCCAGCATTATCAAAAAAGAAAGTTTGGTAATATGACCTTGGTAATATTAGGAAATGTGGTATGTTATTTTTAACATGCTCAAAGTGTTCCTTTTTGTAATCCTTCTTACAAGTCAAATGGCTTGTTTCATTTAGAGGAGTGTTTGAGTACCTATTCCTTGTGATTTGACCAATCGGTTAAGTCAAACCATAAAACATGTCTTTGCGTGCATTCTGGTGGGTGGAAGGAAATTGTATTTTTACTCAGGCCCCAGTTCTGGGTGTATATTAATTTCCTCTGCCTTGAAAAGGCCATTTTCAGCTTTGCTTCCTGAAGAAAAAGTTATTTCCTTTCAGCCTTCCTCTTCTACCACGTAAAGGAAGTTATGACTGATGTCTGGATTGGGTTGCATGATATACATCTAGAGATGGCATTTCTTTGGACAGATGGAAGTAGTATCTCTTATGCCAACTGGGCCTTTGGTGCACCCTCAAACAACAACTTTTATAATGAGCATGACAACGAGGTAAATATTACTTGCAAATCATTCTTAAACAGCCATTGATAGTTTTAGCAATCAAATAGATGGTAATCAAATGAGTGTTTTGAGTAATACATTTTAAATGTATCACTTGAGGTTTGCATTTGTTCTGAACTTACCATACTTTCGTATATATCACACTTCCTCCCCTCCTGCCCCCACAACTTTAGGACAGGCACCTTGGTTTGGGAAGGTAAAATGAAGAAAAGAAAATGTCCAGGGTCATGCCTGAATGCTGGCTAAATGGAGCAGGGTCAGAGTCCACTTGCCAACCTCACTCATCCTCCTCTTGTTGCGCAGCCAGAAGTTAGAGGTTTAACCCTGTCACAGCTGCTGCCAGTTTAGTGTTTGAGTGACACTGCAGAGTGGGCTCTGGCCTTCCTACATGTGGCCAGGAAGGGAACAGAGCCCCCAGCAGCCATTACTGTGTAGTTATGCCTCCATTCCAGCACATAAATTAGCTTTCTCACTTGAAACATGCACCCTAATTTTAGATGGCTAAATTTGGGGGGAAAAGTGGATGTGGTATGTGAGCAAATATGGTATGCATTATCTTTTCCTTTAGAAAAATTGTGTCATAATGGCACTGGGAAATGGAAAATGGAGAGATAAAGACTGCGCAGAAGCCAAAGGCTATATATGTCAAATTAATTCAGGTAAGTTCTATTGTAACAACTCTCTAAGTTATGAGTAAGTTAAAAGAAACAATTACAAATTCAAATGACCTTTTTAGTTTTGTTTCTGGATTTAAATCTGGGTTTTTACAAATAACATACTCCCCATGGGGCACATCTACATGTGCTATTACTGCTCATGAATAAACTGCAGGCATTTCCTACACTGAAGCACTCTGGTGCCCCAGCCACCCAGGGCAGCATCTATATGTGCTTTGCTGTGGAGTTTTTTACAAGTAAATACAAAGTAAATATCCTACAGTGGAATAAATTAGTTTATTCCAGTCAAATAGGGGCACACATGTAGACACTGAAATGTTTACTGTGTGGCTAATTAGACAACTGCGTGGTAAATATCTCATGTAGACATGCCCACTGGGAGGCATTCTGAATCTTTCAGTCCTCAAGAATTTCTCCAAAGTTCCTCTCCAAGTATTATGGTTCACATAATGCAAGAATGCACTGTATAAATACAGTCAATTGTGAAGTCTTATTACATGTTGGCAGAGGGAATAAATATTTAATTTTTTAATTTGTTGTACTGAATGTAAGACTTGTCACCAAAAGATAACTAAGGAATTAGGGCTGTGCAAAACAGCACTTTTTCACTTTGACTTGCATTTTGCTGTGGTGAAGGGACAGTGTTTCATTTAATTGTTTCATTTTCATTTGAAAGCACTGTTCTGTTTTGTTTTGTCGAAACTGTTTCGACATCTTGTCCATAGCCTATAATGGGGAATCATGAAAATGCCTATAACTTTGTCATTTCTTGCTTGATTTGGATGAAAATTGCAGGGATTGCAGCCCCTTCCAGGGGCATGATGCCTGCCAAGTGTTAAGGAGATAGGTGCAGGGATTTTTGCTGTCAAGGTGCTGAGAGCAAAACTAATTCACTTGGCGGCAACAGCAGCCTGCTCTCATCTGCGTGCATGTCTGGGGCCCGCACCCCCGGGAGGAGTCTGGCAGTGCTGGCAGGACATGTTGAGCTCCGTGAGGCTGGCATAGCTGCTCAGAGCACAGCCCTGGCTTTCCCTGTCTCCCGCTGCCGGACTGCACTCCAAGTGGCTCCACCAGGCCCAGCTCAGCCTGGTGGCAGGAGGCAGCAGAAGAGCCAGTGATGGAGCCACTTGGAGCACAGTTTTGGTGAGCACAGCCTGATGGTGGGAGGTTCTGCAGCCCCATGGAGCCTCACCTCACAGTGGGGGGCAGGGGAGAGCCACTAGCCAGGGCTGCACTCTGAGTGGCTCTGCCACTCGCTCTCCGCCACTTCCTGCCATCAGGCTCAGCTCTGTGGGGCTTCGGAGCCTCCCACTACTGGGCTGTGCTCACTAGGGCTGTGCTCCGAGTGGCTCAGCCACTGGCTCTTCTGCCACCTCCTTCCACTGGGCTGAGCGGAGCTCCATGGGGCTGGCAGAGCTGCTTGGAGCACAGCCCTGGCTCTGAGTGCAGCCCTGGCAAGCACAGCCTGGTGGCTGGCGGCTCTGCAGCCCCACAGAACTGAGCCTGGTGGTGGGATGCAGTGAAGAGCCACTGGCCAGGGCTGCACTCCAGGTGACTTTGCCACTGGCTCTCTGCTGCCTCCTGCTGCCTTCCACCAGTAGGCTCAGCTCTCTGGGACTGCGGAGTCTCCCGCCACTGGGCTGCACCACTGGCTCTCCCGCTGCCGGGTTGAGCTCTGTGGGGCTGGCAGAGCCGCTCTGAGCACAGCCCTGGCTCTCACCCACCTCCCACCACCGAGCTGCACACTGAGCAGCTGTACCAGCCCTGCAGGGAGAGCCACTGGCCAGGGCTGCACTCGGAGCAAGGGCTGCTCTCCGAGCAGCTCTGCCACTGGCTCTTCACCAACTCCTGCCACTTGACTGAGCTCCATGGGGCTGGAGGAGCCACTTGGAGCACAGCCCTGGCTCCAAGCGCAGCCCTGGTGAGCGCAGCCCAGTGGCTGGAGGCTCTGCAGCTCCATGGAGCTGAGCCTGGTAGCAGGAGGTGGGGGAGAGCCAGTGGCAGAGCCACTAGGAGAGCAGCCCTGGCTCTGACTGCAGCCCTGGCCAGTTGCTCCCTCCTGCCTGCCACTGCCAGGATCAGCTCCATGGGGCTGGTGGAGCCACTTGGAGCACAGCCCTGGTGAGCACAGACCAGTGTTGGGAGGCTGTGCAGCCCCACACAGCTGAGCCTGGCAGTGGGAGGTGGAGGAGAGCTACTGGCCAGGGCTTATAAGATAATAAAAAAATAATAAACAGAAACAAAGTCCTTATCTGTAAAATTGTCTGCTTCTGTATTTGTTTTAAATTTGGTGAAATGCATTGTTCCCAATGCTGATGTTCCAGTAGGATAGCAAAAGAATATAAGGCCTAGGGACAGACATTGCACATAAACTGGTGTAAGTGATCAGAGGACCCCAAAGGTGGCTTTGCTTTCCTGGCCCCATCCCCAGCTTCTCAGCTACAGGGGTCAGGTAGTGCAAGCAATGGATTGCCACTCTAGCCCTGGCCTCCTAGCTAGGGTCTGCACAGTGGGTGGGGGGAAAGCCTCCAAGGTGGAGGCTTTTCCTCTGCAAAACAGCTCCACCCCATCATCATCCCCCTTGCCTGTCAGCTGTGGGGAAGTGGGGGAGGAAGGACCCCCGCCCTGGCCCCCCAGCTGGAGTCTGCAGAGGGGTGTTGGGGAAATCCCCCTAGATGGCTTTTGCAGCTCCACCAGGCTGCAAACACTCCGGCCCTGCCCTTTTGTCAGCCCTCCACCTGTCAGCTGTGGGAAGTGGGTGGAGGTGGAATGGACCCTTGCCCTGGCCCCTCAGCTGTGTCTGCACAGGGGATATGGGTGGGGGGAAGCCCCCGAGCCAGGGGCTTTCTTTCTCACAGTGCTGCTCCACTGCTGCAATTGCCCAAGCCCCCACTTGTCAGCTTCAAGGACCTCCTCCCTACACTGTGGAGATCCTAGCTGGGGGGGGGGGG